GCGTTTTGAACAAACGATCCCGGGCGAAGGCTATCACTAAGCTGTGCCTTGAAAGATGAAGGATTCGCGAAACGGGCTTTAGGGGGAGCACGACTAGCTGAACTGTAACCGGGCCAAGACCCACGAGATTTTGTTCCACTGCGCCCTTCAGTTAGGTAAGGGATTGTGATGTTTGCTTGTTCACTTTCCATGACTCCCATCATTTGGATCTCGTACATGCGCACTCGTGGCGTGAACGCCTTTGATGGTCGAGTAACAGTAAGCGAGATAGGCGCGTTTGGGTCTTTCTTCAAGATTCGCCGGGCCTCTCGGTATGTTTCGGGGTTCCAATAGGATATGTCAAGCCAATGGGGAATACCAAAGCTCCACTCTTTGGATTGAGGGGTCGCCCGTGCCCTCATTCTGGTCGCAGACATATATGAGCTTGGAGAAAGATATGATGATCTACTAACAATGCTTGATAGGGAATGGTGAATCTCTGAAGACATCCTATCCCTATTAGCTTCGCTGGGTCTAGCCCGTCCCGAATCCCCAGTATCTCGCTCCACTGGCTCCCGGTACTTGAAGAGTGGCACAGAATGGAGAGGCATCGGACTCAAACAGACCAAGTCGATTGCTATGCCTCGGTTCGCAAGGGCTTCTGTTGTAGAAGCCAGAGACTCGTAAGAGACCTCAAAAACGCCACTACCAGGGGTAATAACAATGATTGAGGTGCCGGTGTGGACCATGTCTCGATCAATATGGTCGAAAGCTAGGTGAGCAGAGGCGAGGTGAATGGCCTCTAAGATGTTTCCCCGAAGTGCTGAAGTTGGGTGCCCGGCAATGGTCGCCATGTATGGCTTGGAATGGGTCTTGTTACCACTGCTGGGTGCAATATCAATGTCGTCCGTTTTCAGGATTGACACATCTCGCAAAAAGGTCCTAAATTCCCTTTTCAACTCGTCTAAGATGGTTGTCCAGTGGCCGCTTGCCATGTCATTTACTACCACACGGTAGAAATCTCGAGTCGGAACTTTGTTTGGCCTGGATTTGCTGTTCAAGTTCGCGGTGCCGAGTTTAGGCTGGCCTGGGTTGCTAGGTCTATCATATTCGACTCGAGTGAACAGTACAATCGTCACGAGATGTTTTGCGTCCGAATTGGCCCATCTCTTGAAGAGTTCCGGCAGGAAACCATTGATAACCCGACTGAAGAGGATGTCACCAGTCCCCTCCGAGTCGAAGTCCCACATTTCTTTCGACATTTGGATGAATAGGACATATTTGGCGGATTCGCTTCGGAAAATAGGGATCGTTTTCGGCGAGAAGTATCCCGAGAGACATTTCTTTTCTCGGATAAAGATGTTTTTGACAGTGGCTTTGATGCTTCCCATGAACATGATCTTTTGTCCTTTGTATATGATTTTATCCGATAACTCTGACATGACTAGTCTCCACATGTCCGATCGGACCATGTATTGATCGCGAAAGGCGATGTCGACATGAGACGCCGCACATTGATCTCGATCCACAATCGATAATAGAACTTGCGTTCTGTTCTTGAAACCAAATATGTTGGCAATATTGTTTGTCACTGAAATCTCTAATTGAGGATTTCGAGCTTTGGTTTCTGGTGGTAAGGCCTTCACCACGAATAGACAACGGCTCTGCAGCGGAGTCTTGAATTTTGAGGTGCTATCCGCCTGAGTCGCCGAGTTGAGTTCGGCATGACCTTCGCGAGCAGCTTTCAAAGCTGCGTCAGGCTTTATACTAGAATAGCCGGCATCGCCAGGTCCCCGCATGGGCAGGATCTCGACGACATCACCAACTTGCACTTCAGTTTCGCCGAAAGCCGATGGATTCAACAAAATTTCTTCGCGCGAAAACGTCTCATCGTGAACCCAAAGCGCACATTGATGCCGTGTCCAGCTTGCTGAGGACAGCCTGACAGTCCGGTCATCTGTGGCTTGGTCGTGGTCGTGGTCACGGTTCGCAGTCTCCAGTGAGTGAGTGGAGCTGCTCTCCAAGCTCGCAGCGCTCACTTGTCTCAGGTGCGACCGCCGCATGGGCCCGCGCAAAGACATTTCTGTTTGCTATTATGGTTGCATTTCACTGAAGCTAGTTAATTCAAATATCAGACTGCGCCCATGAGTTCTTGAAAGAGATAGCCTTTGCAAAGGGGAGATATGACGGTCACGTGAATCAACACCATCACATGATGTTCATGCCTGAGGCAGAATTTAGACATCGATCCATATCGCACCATACAATAGCAGCTGTTGACTTTCAAGTATCATATGAATTGAATTGAATTAATCAACTCAATGGCCAATGAATATTTGCGCTATGCTGAGAGCCAATGGTGGAGAAATCAGTCAACTGCTGTTAAATTGCAGATTTCTAGAGCCAGCCGGCCCAGCCCTACATGGAGAGTAAACATGGATATCAACGACCTGTTCTAGCCGACAATCTGGCGCATATTCTTTGTATACAGTAGGGAAGAAGCTTTGAAACATAGTTTTGTAGTTTGCATTGCCACAGGTAGAACGTATCTCGCTGGGCTGGATTCGTAACAATGGTCGGCTAAATACGCCCGCAGGTGGGATTGACCAAACAGAAGCGACAGAATCAGAAGATAACATTTGGAAGCAAGAAAAGCGGTGGTAAGGATCGTGCATAGTAAATAGTACAGATGTAAGTACCATACAAAAGTAGCAAAAAGTAGGATTGTATTGCGCACAGATGAGGGCTGAACCGATCGATCATAATATCCTATGCTCCGATGGCCTTGTTAGATCGACATTTATATCTCAAATCGAGCCATCGGCGCTGGAGTCATACACATACACATACATGTACATGCACCACGAAACCCCCATACTGGAGGAACACTCAACTGGACACAAGCTTGACCGAAGAGGCAAAATCTTGAGCCACCGATCTCATTTTTGCCTTGGCATATCTCTCAATTGGTGCTCAGGAGGAATGGAGGGTAACTGTCTCATTAGTTTGAGTGTTGGCCGTAATCCCCTTGAGTAGATTAAAGACCTAGGTTTAATTTCCTTGAGAGGATTTTTCACGCCGTTGATCTTAGATCGAAAATTCGGGTTTTGCCCCTGCGGTAGAAGGATATTGGTCTCTTCATGACCCGTCGCGTCTACTTAATTGGTTGCATACGATGCGGAGTTGATTTCCGGGTGGCCCCTAAGTTCTTGTCTATTGCCTCACAACCCAATTTGAGCAACGTTTTTGATTATCCCCAACACAGATCTCCGTTTGTTTCAATTGATCTCTGGGGTTTCCCTAGAATGAGCACTGACCGATGGCAGGTGTTTGCATGTTGCGCTAACAGAAAAAGCAAGAACAACGGGCGCATTACTCCCTAATCTATCCCTATCCTCGCACCCTAGGGCATCTTGAAGTTTCGAAATTATAAATATTGTAACTTCTGGTACCCGGATAGGATGCCCTGAGAATGTTTTATGTTTTATACTCGGCCAAGTTGTTCATGCCTAGGCTCACTGGTGACTGGTGCACGTCATGGGTACTGTCAGAGTGCCGTAAAATCATGAAAAAAATAAGCCGAGCGCGTCAAGGGTTGAGGCCAATTGCCATTAATCGTTTGGCCTTTCTCATGTAAGTAAAGAATCCTCTTTTTTCATTCTGTTTTGATGTCGTGCTCATGACAATGGCTCTTTTCCTTAGTACACCTAAGCCTCTCTGTCGGGTGGCGCACCCACGCGTCGACCTTTGTCCGGCATGACCGCACACTCCTCCATGCTTCCAACGTGCCCTCGGGGTATTAAAAACACCCTCATCGCCCCGTGGGAACACAGTACGACCAGGTCATATCCAACAGTCTTGAGCAGAGCGTGCAATGAGGTCTGGGCACCACGAGTTCATATCACGGACACGTCATAGTCATATCACGGTCACATCACGACATCTCTCTCCAGACTTACAGTGGTATCTTCATTTGAATTCTCAATGCAGAATGCTGGTTCCCGAAATACCTTGCAGCTCACAGGCGGTGCTAGCAATGCTGCAGACATCCAACTGCCCAACTGTCTGCCGAAACCCGAGCGCGTAATCAAACACAGCCCGTCGAACCGTTGGTACAAGGGAGTCAGAAAAAAACACAAAAAGATACTACTAACAATGGAGTTGTGATGATTTGTTGTCTTGCTTGCCTCTTGATCGTGCCGACATCGGTGGGACTTCATTTTGATGGTGAATGGGTACCGACCAACCCAAATCGAGGCAAGCGGGGAGGAAAAGAAGACGTGATTGAAAAGCATTGAACATTTGACTCGGGCGTTATTCTGAGCTTCGGTGTTTCTGGGGTCTGAAGGCACAACAACTGCTCAACCCTTTCCAAGAGCCTTGAAAGGGGAGATAGGAAACCTAGGCGGCAAGCTCACCGCAGACGGTATCCAATGTCAAAACAATGTTCATGAAATGGAAGGTCGTTTGAATGCCGATCTATCGAGATTTGGAATACCGGTGATTCTCGGTCCGAAATAGGGCGGTACACGGAACGTACACGACAGAACCATCCCTTATGATAGGGAGACTATCAATCAGTCTCACGTAGCCTATCAGATAGGTTTTATACTGTCAAAGTCCCTCAAACGGAAACCGCGAAAGACTCTTTCGTATATATATGCCTTTATACGCAAATGTCTGAAGGGCTTACAATATGCGTTTAAAAATACGAAAGTTCAAAGCCAAGCGCTTATTGGTTTTTATCGTTGCTATTAGTGGCGAACCGGCAAAGAGCTTCGGCATACCAGAAGGCCCCATTTCCGCAAACCCACTTGTGAATATCCACTTGTAGGGGGATCTTCTACTTCGTATTTTTTTTATGATTTTTTGACTTTTTTTTTATTCTTCAAAAGAGAGGGGGTTCTTCTTCTGCGGTCTTCTAGTGTGGCCTACTCGAGCCGCTAGTCCGGGCGTCTCGCGTCTCGCGGAAAAAAAAATCATTCCTATAAACCCTACCCTTTCGAAGATATTCCAACGATATGAGTGAGAACTTTAATGCCCCGTATTTCGACTATCCGCTGGAAAATGAATTTAATTACGACTGGGCTATGCCTGGATACCCGCAACCTTCTCACGTCGAGTTTACCGGACCTATCCCTGGCCGTGATATCCATCTCAGCGACCGCGTGAATCCCAAGGTGGCTATTCCTCGGACCTCACAACCCAGTAGTTGGACTAGCAGCGGTCGAGTCAGTCGAGCTTGTGAAAATTGCCGTGAACAAAAGGCCAAATGTAGTGGCCATCGCCCATCCTGTAATCGGTGCCTGGATTCTGGCGTCCAGTGCTCATATGGCGACCGAAAAAGAGAAAAGATGGCGAAGTACGTAACATTTTCTTTAGTTTAATATTCCCTAACCGGTTGATAGGCAGCTGAATGATTTGACTTTACGGGTTGAAACCTTTGATGCTTTGCTCCGTGATCTTTATCCCAAGCTTGATGTCTCCTTGGCCCAGCAGGTCGATGAAACACTGAGAGAGCTAAATGCACGCACTCCACTCACCCAAACCATTCCCTCTGTCCATATCCCTGCCTTATTCACCCAACCATCAGGCCACATCAATCACTCAATCCTTTCTCCCGCATATGCTGGTGTATCTATTCCCTCGGCTGGAGACTACACTGAAGAGGACTTCAACGGAGATGAGAAAGTCCAGGCGACAGGATTTGTGGGCGAACATTCGGAGATGGTATGGTTGTACAGACTCAAACGTGGCCTTGATCATAACAGATTGAAAATAACGAAAGAGACCCCCGTACACCCTTCGATCTCTTCTGTGAACTACTTCCAAGATAACTCGGAAATTTTGGTTCCCGACGATATCGACCTCGTACGCCGGCCTCCAATACAAATCGCTAACAGGCTTGTTGACACCTACTTTCACATCGTTCATCATACCTTCCCGATTATTGGAAAGGCAATATTTTTGAACCAGTATCGATCCTTCTATGCGAATCCCAATGTGCGGCCTGGAAAACGATGGATTATAGTGCTCAACCTAGTGTTTGCCATTGCGACCAGACATTCCTTCCTCGTCGATCAGGACCAAACAAACTGCGATGACCATCAGACCTATTTTGCACGGGCATGGAGGCTGAATGTAGGTAACACGTTGCTACATCATCCCGACTTGCAACAGGCACAGGTGGAGGGCTTAGCTGCTTTTTACCTCCTATCGGTTGGCCAAGTAAACAGGTCGGTCTTTCCTTTCCCTTCCTTGTCTATTTCTGCGTTAGACTCATTTCTAATCTGTTGGGCATCTTTATCTAGGTCTTGGAGGCTCATTGGACTTGCGATTCGATCGGCGGTGACCATGGGTTTAAACATTCGAAGCGAGAGCGAGAGCATTACACACTGTTCGAAAGAACTTCGATGTCGGGTTTGGTGGGGGCTGTTTATATTAGATACTGTGCTATGTGAGATGGCAGGCCGTCCACCTTGCACTGCGGACATTTTTTGTTCCACCCCCCTCCCTGTCCCCTTTGCCGAGGAGGACTTTTTGGATAAGCGCGTTGTGCAACTTATTACCGACCAAAAGACTCGAAGTACCTTTTACGCCTCCTTGATTTCCCATCCCGTGGAGGCATTACCAAGGGAGAGCATGACTCCAAGCACCCCAGGGCAGCAAGGGACCGACAATGAGAAACAAGAAGAAAGGGGCAGTCAGACTGGCGTGGAGAGTGTGACACCCAACTGCTCGCTATACTTTCTGTACGCAGTGGACTTAGCTCACCTCTTGCGGGAGGCCATTAATATCCTCTATGCTCCTAGAGCAATACGACAGTCATGGCATGATATTGAAGCCGCCATTTCCACATTAAACAACCATGCTGATAACTGGTTGTCTCGTCTCCCAGCGGAGTTTGATTTCACAACGCTAGACACAACCCATCAATTTCTACGACAGCGTGCTAGTCTTGCGTTCGGGTTCTACTCCACCAAACTGATCATCTTGCAGCCGTGTATCCGCCGTCTATCTCAGTCATCTGAAGCAAACTCCCCGGGAACTGTGTGTGAACATATGGCAGCCTTGTGCGCTCAGGCGGCAGATCAAATGCTGGTACTGCTACCCGAGGAGCCAGACTTGAATTGGCTGTATGGGGTTACCCCTTGGTGGTGCATCCTGCACAACATAATGCAGTCGACTACCATCCTTCTCACCGAGCTGTTCACGCGCACTCACGAAGGCACCACCAAGGCTGTTTATATCACCAAGAAGATCAACAAAGCAATTCGCTGGTTGAAGGAGATGTCGACCAAAGACCTTTGTTCGCAGCGAGCCTGGCTTGTCTGCATGAATCTTGTTTCACGGCATGGCTCGAAGTTTGGGTTCGACGTTGAAACCGAACTCTAGACACATATATTTTTCAATTTATCTCGTGTAGATATAGGAGTTTGATTTTATACCCCGGCTTGATTGGGGTAAAGCGACCCTAAGCGATTCATCTGCTCTTGTTTGCTGTACATGTGGGTTCAATGACATATACCATGCAATTTCTTCTGTCATCACGCGTCCCTTGTGACGCTGGAATTTTTCGTTCATTTGGTTTTTCGATCGTGATTTCGGTTTATCTTCATCAATGCATTTCCCCAAGTCGATTCGTCTTATTTCAATAGTTTGCTGTCTCATAAGGTTGCTCTTTTGTTTGAGTCCACAAGGATCTTTCTTTAGTACATATGTACACACGATAGAGTGTCATTACCTGAATACCATCTTTAAACCTTAAGAGTTGAGTCACTTATCAAATCATTAAGACCAGAATAACAAGGTCTAGAACGTGTGTATATCATTATCAATATCTCATCTACCCTGGCTAACCCCGATCAGAACTCATGACATGTATATAAATTCTCCGCCTCGTTGAAGAACGTATCAACAGGATGCAACAGCCCAAGATCGATATCCGACTGCGCAAGGAAATCTTGCATGGTCGGCTCTAAAAACGCCATTTCGGTTGTATATCCGCTGACGGTATCCCTTAAGGGGTATGGGTATGCATTGATGCCATGGCTGTGGGCATGTTGGGTGGTGGCTGAAGCGAGGATGTCATGTGTTGCGGGTATCAAGGACGGCGGGTGTATGGATGTCGATGTCGATGTCGATGGATTTAATGGCAAGCTGTTCAAAAAGGGAGTAGTAGCTGTTGCTAAATCTGACGAAGGCCCAGACAAAGCTAGTGCACCACCACGAGAGGGAGCATTACCACTAGCGTCAGCATTGATATTAGGAGCCACTCCACCAGCGGCCATCTCAGCACTCCCATCGCCATGTCTCGCACCCTGATACACAGCTAAACAAGCCTTCACCTGCTCGAGGTTATGATAAAATTCCGCCGCAGCCAGATTCCCGTTCTCGGTCATGGAGCGTAGCAGATCCAGCGCTGAGTCGAATCCCGTCATATCTGTCGGACTGCCGATCGGCACAAAGCTGGACATTGCCAAGATCAATGCTGAGGAAAAGAGGTAATGGGCGTGGAAATAGCCGAAAGTCGGCATGGATCCGTTGATCCACCGTGTCAGGATCATCGAATGAGAGTGTCGTGCTGCATGGATACATGCTTCGCTTAGAGTGAGCACGGGCTGGGAAACGGATACGTCTTCGCTGCTACTTTCCGTCCCGATCCCGATCCCGATTCCGCTAGTACTATTGGCGGTTTTGCTTTTTTTGCTTAGTGTCATCAGGAGGTGCAGGAGCGTTGGGCGCGTAGTTAAGATCACGCATTGATTGAAGGCCATGTGGAGGGAGACGACGGGTTTCTTGCTCGATTCTAGGTCTTCCATGTTCAGTCTCAGTGATTCGGGGAGTGTCTCTACCCAGTGTTTCAGGGATTTGAGTAGCTTCTGAACGCGTTGGAGGAAGGTCTCTTGGTACTTTCTCCGGCTGTATAGCTTGGTGATTGTCTCGCCAACTATGCGTGCCAGCTTGATATTGGCGGTCATGTATTCCGAGTCGGAAAGTTCTTCTCCATGGCGCCATTCGGGGGAGATGGTTGACGGCATGTCGACGTGGATATCTTCATCGAGAATTTGCATTGGGAGGCCCATTTTTGATCCCCACATCCTGTCGAAGATGTAGATTGTCCACCATATTTGGATGCGGTGTTGGCGCTCCACTGGGTCGATGAGTTGTGATTCTAGGATATTATGATTCAAGCCAATTGTCAAACCCATCCGCATGGCGTTTCCAATCAGAATATACGCTGAATGACGCCGGTTGAGATAGTATGAAAAAAGAGACTTGGGATATGATAAGTATTTTGACGTCGAAAAATACACGTTGAGCCACATACCAACAGTAATAGGGTTTCCAAGTGTGTAACACTGGTTCTCTCCGGCAAGATCTGGACCAATCCCATTGCTCGAGCAAAGTATGAGGTGCCTGGTACCCTGGAGCCAGAACTGGGCTCAGATCGGATTGAATACGCCTGGCCGAACGCGAACAGGGCGAAAAATTTACATTTGCTAGCCGTGCAGTCAAAGTCTTGTGTCTGGTAGATCTCTTCCAGTTTATCTAATGTCGACTTGCGCATCATGAGGTGGTACAGATGCCCGATCTGGTGGATTGCTATCCGGACCAACAACCGAGCATGGTGAAGACTCGGCCACTGGATATCGGCTTCGTTCGCTGCAGCGATGGTCTCTTCGCGCTCATACTGTGTTCGTGGAATATGTGGCATCGCACTATTCCCCGACAAGAAACGCCGAAACCGTGTTGCGAACGCTGAACATGCCGCCTCGCCGATGTAGATTGGCGGGGAAGAAGGATCATACCGGTGGAACCAGGCTCGATCTCCAATCAATGGATTCTGAATGCCTGTGCCATCAGGGACATCTGCTGTCCTGGAAGGTCCTCTGTTGGAGATCTCAGTATGTTGCGGGTCATGTATCGGAATGCCAAGGGATGTCTACCTCTGCAAGGGGTCGTTTGTCTCGGTGACCTGAGCCGAAGTGATCGATCGTTCCTTGAGCCGCTGATTCTCTGCAAGGAGCTGATCTAGATAGCTGATCGGAGAATACTTTTTAGCTTCTGATCTGACACATGTGATAAACAAGCTTTGAAGAGGCTTGGTCTAATGGTATTTGTGGCTTGCTTGCATACTTCTCACTAACTTTCACCTGACGATCCCGAGTAGCGTAGGCACATTCATCAGCGAGTCCCACTGCGCGACATTTACTACACGGCTGATCTCCGGAACACTTAATTTTATGCGAGTGGCATCTTTGACAGCTATTAATGCTGTGTGTCAGTTCTTGACGGCTTTGGTGTGAAGCATCTGGAATACGCACGCAACGAATATCCTTTTTTGGGAGTCCCGACCTTCTTGCTCTTGCTCTTGTGTAAGAGCACGCCTTTTCCGTGTCATAGTGACAAATCACTATTTTTGAACTTTTCAAATTGTGTAAAAAGAATAAATCGGTTGCATGCGGTCGGAGATTTGGAAGGTCTCGCCGAGCATTCGGCAATTTTGGGATTTTGCCGAGTCGGAGCTGACTAATCAGTTTTCTGGCCGGGCCTTTTAACCTGGAGCGACCAAGTAGTTTCTGGAGGGCCTGTGAGCTTAATAGATTGTTTTACTTAACTAGAAACGAAGAATATGTCTTTTTCTTGGAGTTTCCGCCTATATTCCGAATACCTTGGTATTAAATTCTATTATTGTTCCGAAATCATCGAGTCATGTCTATCTAGACTCTATCGCGATCTATAAACCAACTATCATGCAGGCATTTCGTATCGCCTAGGATGCAAAGACATAAATGCAAGTGGAAAAAGAAAACCTTATATCCCTGTGATCAAGGCTTCGCATCGAGGCTGAACTTCCTTTCAGACCATTGCTGCATATCAATGCCCCATTTAGTGATAGCAAGCACACAGAAACCACCTGTTATAGCGAGAAATACACCTGAGCAGAACATATGGTTAGATACGATTCAACCATGATATCATTGAGAAAACTCACATATTGTGAATGTCCATCCTACCCCGATAGCACTGATTACCGGCTCAACAGCCGCCGTCGCAGCAGCAGCAAATATATACTGCACCACATACTTTGCGCTAATAACCTCCGAACGCACATGCGGCATAACCTCTATAAGGTGGATGGTTAGTTTTGAAAAACCCAGTGTATTGGGCGGATAATACTCACCAGCCGAATAAGTATTCAGCCCATTGAAAGCACCTATTAGCCCTGCGCCCGCAAAAAAAGCGGCGATAATCGGCACAGCCATACCACCCACTTCTTTCTGTAAGGTCCAGCAGTAGATTAAGGTTGAAATTGGAACGACCCCAAAAAGGGTGGCAAGACCACTGTTCAGGCGGTCCTGAGGTAGGCGCACCCCGTTTCGTTTAAGAATCCATTTCTTCACGGCATGGTCAGACAGCCTGCCGCCAACGACACTACCGATTAGAAAACCTATTCCAGGGGAAAGATAGAATAAGCCGCTGATGAGTGGAGTTGTCAGGTTGAAACGCGGATTGAAAATTGAGCGGGCTGATGTGAGAAGTGCGTATTGGAATGTAGAAAGAAGGCCACATGTGAGGCACTGTTGCTTGTTAGTCACTTTACAAGATAAAATTCCAGCACTGGCAGGTAATTCTTACTGCAAGAAAGATATTGGGATACACAAATTGACGAAAGATGCGCAGAGGATTGAACATGCTCAAAACAGTGCAAAGCTTCCAGGGTTTGTTGGAGTCCATGATCCGGTTCTTTTCTTGGATACTCGGCACAAAAAGAAGAGACAAGACGAGGCCGAGTAGAGTCATCGCAAACTGCAGCCAGTAGATAATGCGCCATTGGGAGAATGTGACGATGATGCCGCCAATACAGGGTCCTAATTAGACAGTTAATCACTTAGATCCAATGAAAGCGAGATATAGTAGTAGCTAAAACATACCAATTGCAGGCCCACTGACAGATCCAACCATAAAGCAGCCAACAGCCGTTCCACGCACAGTCTATGAGCCCCTGTCAGTAATAAGAAGACACTCAAAATCACACCAACGTACCGGTTCAAAGATATCGGCAAGAATAGTCTGCCCAGCAACCATGAAGAAGGTACCTGTAAAACCTCCCAAAATACGCATTGCTATAAACATATGCAAATTGATTGCGGCGGCAGTACCAGCCGAGCATGCGCAAAGCACAAGGATAGCTGCATTATAGGCATTTCGACGCCCGAACAGGTGAGTGACAGGACCCCAAATAAAAGACGAGAAACCCATGGCAATCAGAACACCGGCATTGGTGACATTGAGAATCTCCGATGTAGTAGAAAACTCGGTAGCGATCTCCGGGATTGCGGGCAATAGTGAAGTACTGGAGAATGTGACAGCCAAGGTCATCCAGCTGACGATAAAAAGGATGAGACATTTGTGCCATGTTGGAATACCATAGGCATTTGAGAACTGGGGTTTTAAAGCCAAATCGTCTTCTGATTCCGAGTCGTGGGGAGAATCGACCTGTGGGGTTGGTTTTTGGGACTCGAGATCTGGTCTGGATTCCATGATGGGATGTTAAGTGGAATTTAGATGGTATATAGTCGATGTAAAAGATTGACTGATGGCTTCCGCACCTCTAAATTAAAAATTAATGTACACAGAAAATAATCCAACAGGATTCAGTTGACATTTTGTATGAAAACCCTCTCGGCATGTTGAAGCTATCGCCGAAGCATGGTTTTTTCTAGCGTGGAGCACTTTCCTCTGATGTGGATCGGATAGGGCGATCGGCTTAGGAGGCCGACTTCTTCGTTTCGTATTTGAAGGGTGTCATGTCAAAATATTCAGGGATAGCAGGGAGAACCAAATGATAGAGACCGTGTGAGGTCGAATTTCATGTGTTATTTCCGGCTTAGCTACGTAAATTGTCTGTTCTGGCCTTCATTTTATTAATTCGACATCGATTTGACACACAAATTGTTGGGATATCAACCCTGCTGTTTACCATGCTGTTTGCTAGTCTAGACTGGGACTTTTTCTTGACAGTTAGCTTGGTGTTTTTTGCATGGTATAAATACCCAGTTTCTCCATAGGTTATCCAATGCAGCACAGCATCCATATTCTTCTATCTTAATCACTCGCTGTATGCTCAACACAAATTCAACATGGTTTATTCAATGCACTTGCTCATAGTTTTTCTAGATCCAGAAGATGTTCGAAATGATTCTTATGCTTAGATGCTTCCTCTATGCCATGCAGCGAACACCCTGAAACTGACCGCAGAGCCAGGCTGACGCGTCCCCGTGCAAGGTTTCCTCTGCTAGTACAAAGAGATCGGCAAAAGAGTTTGGCAAAATTTGAAGCTTTCAATATAGCCCGCCAAGATATCTCGTGTCCCAGGTCTGGGGGAAAGGAGACGCCAACGCAAGGGATAGCGAAAGACAAACCTCACCTCTAGGGAAAGGTACTTGATCACTACACAGGATCAGACGAAGCAGCATAATTCAGCTATGGACCACAAAGAAGCACAAAATATCAAAGCATCTGTTTCCCCTTTACCCCCAGTCGAAAAGCACCATACACCTCATTTTGTCTTGATCCCCCAACCCAGTACCCACCCCCGGGACCCTTTGGTATGGTAGAAGTCCCTCGTGCATCATTGTCCCCGAAGATAAACTGACGAGATCCATCTAGAATTGGCCTCCTACCCGCAAATATGTAATACTGGGTATGTTATATCTCGCATCTTTCTCCGGTGCTACTGCGGCTTTATCAGCACAGCTCAATCTGGCCGACCAAGAGATGCTGTACCACAAGACGAAGCTGGAAGAGTCCTATGCTGTATGTCTATAAATCCATCTTATCTAAGTCTTCGAAATCTGTGTGGTTGTCAATTTTAGTATCACCCGTCTAATATCCCCAGAACTCAGCCGCGCTAGCTGGCATGGCCGCGGGCCCATTCTTCTTCGCCCCGATATCTCACTTGCTCGGCAGCAGCTCCGTGATCTTCTGGTGTGTGCTGTTTACACTAGTATGTCAGGTCTGGGGCGCTGTCATGACTGAGCCTGGCAACTATATCGCATACGTGATGTCCCGGCTCTTTGCTGGCTTCTTCGGTGCCGTACCTACAGTGCTTGGCCCTCGTATCGTGACCGATCTGTTCTTCTTGCATCAGCGTGGCCGTGCTTTTGCTACTCTGCATATGGCGTTCTTGTTTGGAACAATTGCTGGACCGACGTTTTCGGGCTTTGTTTCTGCGCACTCGTTTTTCCCTGTTGAATTCTGGTGGACGGTCAGTCTACTAGGATTCACGCTTATCTGTTGTTTCTGTTTTCTTGAGGAAACCGGATTTGACCATGAATGCTTTGAAAGCAACCCGGAAATTCCAGTTGGAATTTTGGCTAATAGATTCGCTACTTTTTTCTTCGGGAAGAAGGTTGTCTTGCCGACTACTTGGAAAGAGACGGTATGTACAGCGAAACGCCGAGCCTTTATGCCACACCTTAGGAACTAAATTCGATCTGATATTAATTGGGCAGGTCAAAATCGGAATCACACCCTTCTTAATCGGAATGTGCCCAGTGACGATCATCATGGGAATATTCACATTAATCTCCTTTGGATTCTACGTGGGTGTCAACGCACTCACGCCGGTGTGGCTCCAGAAGCCTATCTCGGAAGGTGGCTACGGGTTCTCACTGGAACAAAACGCGGCATTCACATTCTGCCATTTGATTGGCATCGTTGTTGTCCAATTCTACGGTCACCTTCTCAACGACCGGCTGCCGCTCGCTCTGGCACGACGGTATAACGGTGGTGTCTGGAAGCCCGAGTATCGACTGCATGTCCTGTGGCTTCCGAGGGTTGTGATCAACCCTATTGGTCTAGGGATTTTTGGTGCAGCCTTGCGATATCATCTGCACTACATGGTACTGGTGCTGGCAGTCTTTATTGTGACTGTTGGGTCGCTGGCTAGTGTTCCTGTCACGGTGAACTACGTCGTCGAGTGTTTTACGCGATATCCGGCTGAAGCTGGCATTGTTCTTGGTGCTTATCGCATTGTCTATGGATTGACAATTAGCTTCTATATCAATCCTTGGGTCGAGGCTGTCGATGTTGGCTGGGTTTATGGTATGATGGCTTTTTTTGCTGTATTCTCCTTCATGTTTGTAATGTTACTCATGTGGAAAGGACATGCAATTCGTAAGGTTCAATTTTCGAGCCTTGGATCTAGCGAGGAGGGCGAACGGTTGGTAGGTAATTAGGTTTACCAGATGGGCTGGAGACTCGGCAACGGGTCATTGTACCTAGAAGGAATGACTATAGAAGAGAGAATAATATATCAGACCGGAAGAGAGGGGGGAGCAAACAGGCAGATCTCAGGCAGCAATCCCTCGGACAAAGGACAAGTGAGAAACTGAGATTATGAGCTCAAATAGGTGAACATTCTATCTCTCACCCCTCTTCCTCTCACTTTACTTCCCTCTCACTTTTCTTTTCCTCTTCTTCACACTACATTACGACAGTACAACAACACACTCTGCTCGACATAATAACTGATATCTTCCCAATCTACGACAACATGGAGGCCATTAGAGAAGCCTTTGAGAAATGCCAGGCCGAACGCCGCGCTGCGTTGATCACCTACGTGACACCCGGCTATCCAACCATTAGCAAAACACCGGGGATCATGCTCTCAATGCAAGCCGGAAACGCAGGTAGGTGTTGTTTCACTCGTGTCTATTTCGTGAGACATGTAACATCATGTATCCGATATCAGTTAATTGTAACCCCTGGACAGATATCATCGAACTTGGGATTCCATTTACGGACCCCGTGAACGAAAGCCCAGCTATCCAGCAGGCCAATGTCAAGGCCGTCGAAAACGGTGTCCACATTCCACACATCCTGCAAATGATTAACTCGGCCCGTAAGCAAGGTCTGGCTGTCCCCGTGCTGCTGGTAGGGTACTTAAACCCTATGCGTGCATATGCCTACGGAGAGCAGAAGCTGCTTCGATACTGCAAGGGTGCCGGTGTGGACGGGCTTATCATTGTTGACGTTCCCTCGGATGATGCGGTGCGATTCCATGATGTATGCAAATCCAAAGGGTCTGTATAACCCCATCATCTGAGCTAACATTTGTATTCAGCTAATCAAAATCCTAGGCTGTCGTACATTCCTCTCATTTCCTCCTCTACTCCGAACGAACACATCAAAATACTTTGCAATATCGCCGACTCATTTATGTGTATTGTAGCTCGGACGGGAGTTAGCGGAACCTATGAAAAGCCATATGAGTGCGTGGGAAACCTGCTCTATCGTGTGCATGCTTGCACTGGGAATCCGGTCCCAGTAGCTGTCGGGTTTGGTATCGGCACCCAACAAAATTTTGTTGACATTGCTCGTCTCACTGAAGGCATCGTCATCGGCAGCCCAATCATATCCATACTGGGAAATGCGACTCTTGGAACTGGTGCTCAGAAGGTCAAGGAGTACTGTCTTCAAGTTGCTGGACGCACCGAAGATCAAATTGTCATCACAGAAAGAAAAGATCGAGCCACCGAACCCTTGTCTCCAACTACTATCTATCTTTCCTATGATGGAGCAGGCGATACCGAACACACCGGCGTTCAAAGTCCTCGGTGCCCATAAAAACGGTGCATTTCATGCCGAATTGAGCGCATAGAGTCGCTGTTGCGACACCGTGCTGATCGGTGCCTGTTTCGGCTTATGCACGTTTTGCCGAGTTGGTTGCGAAGGAGTTGGGGCTTGGGCAGGATGTTGTTGTTTGTTTTAGTGAACGGGGTGATAAGGATGTGCGGACTGTTGCCCATGTTATGTCTACCATTAAAGCGGACGGCATCTAATGGTTTCTTTTGATTAAGTGGACAGTTTCGTGAAGTGTGGCTCTTGTAGCTATTATCTCTATGTTATTTCAGATCATACGCAACTCTCTTCTCTAGAGAAATATTCTAAACTGCAGGGACCAAAGTGTATTCAATTAGGGCTAATTAAGCAAGGTTCAAATATGAAAACCTCAACCCTTTTAGGTGTCGGAGATGAAATCTGACATCATGAACAAATTTTATTTATTGGGCGTAAACGCTTGAGAAACATCCTTCCTCAAAGTCGTCACGTTAAAATGTCAGAGATGCCGTTTTTCTCCCAGGATGGTCGAGCAAAAGAAAAGTCGCGTCGTAATCGAGTACACTGGAAATCAGGGACCATGGGTGGTGACAGGACCGACCAAGAGATCAGCCTTGAACGAGCTGGGGATATAAATATCCTCCAAAGATATCGCTTAGGTCGACATCTTGCCCTCAAGAGGGAAACCACCGAGACTTCGTTTATCTCGCATAAGCTCCTCTTTATAGAGGAAGACCTCCGAGAAGTTGTTCAAGAAGAAATATCTATTAAAGAGGGACCCGGTATCTTGAGTAAAGATGCTAAAGAGAGACTTAGTGCTTTAAATGCCAAATACTGGCTTTTAGGGCAAAAGTGGTGGCATTATCGTTCCTGCCTAGGCGATGGGTTTCAGTTACGAGCATTTGAGCTATGACGGTCTCACCCAAAATGGTATATGCACCGCGTGCTTGTTGAAGATTGTGCTGGTCGACAAGGATGCTGTGCTCGTGGATGCGGCTGTTGTCTTGACCGCAAAATTGATCCTACGCGTAGGCTCGGGGCTGGACATTGTACCTTTGAATGTAGATGTTGTCGGAGAGCTCGAGGCTTTGGCATTTCTGAAAAAGACAAGAAAGAAATGAAAGCACAATGCCGTAAAGAAATAAGCAATCTTGCTAGCCACCGGATCACGCGAGGCGCAATATGGGGACTATTCGGTGATGGCTACGATAGCCCGTTCGATATGATTGATGCGCCACCAAGCTATGAGCAGATTCAGAAAGACAAGGCAAATATGGACAAGGCTAACTGATCGACTTTGATATATGGATATTGTTTTGCTCACCATACTATCACTGTATCTCGGACGGATGTACCTACCGGACTAAGCTCTTGCACATTGCAGGTCAGTGCCTTCCCAACAAACTATCGCAAGCCCATACCTTCCCTATATACCATTTCCAATGTAATATACAAAGTAATCTCGTAGCACACGTGAAAACTTCAACTTTTCATCATTCTGCAACAGTAATATGCGTACACTAGTCGGGTCCGCTTTAGGGTTTTCGGCCCCCAATCGGCTCCGCACGATCGGCTCCGCTGGAGATCGTACAGGGGTTGTACCCAATAAGGTCTAAAGCAAAGTAGATAGCGTAATATTTTAGGGGAAATGATAATCGCCATGTTTTAATACATCCCAGGTATCCCAACCCCACAAAAATGCCATATGACTTGAGAGATCGGTAAGGTTTTCATTTTGTGGCCAGGGGACTATTACCTTTGCTGTACAGTTTTGGTCTAGGACTTTGCAGGATTCGAAAATAATTATTATCTGGTAACTAGCTTATATTGAAAGGAGATTGAGTGAACTACATCCGTACTCCCACTAGGCTTTCACCAAATATCCACCTCTCGCATCCTACTTTAACTGATGAACACCCATTTCGAACCCCCTTGTATGCACGCACAATTTCGCAAACCGGATATATCAGAGCTGTGATCAATCCGACGTCTTCTTGACTTGTGATAATCCTCGGACATGGCTAGAGAGATCACCTACAGGGAGCCGCAGAGGAAAGTCCACGGATTCAAGCAACAAGGAAAAGAGTAAATACCACCCGCCGAGGCATGCTGCAAATAGCACAGCCCCTCCACCCTAAAAAGGAGATTGTGTCAATAATGGGGCACTGAAAAATACCGCAAGAGCACTCACTACTTGGAGCTTCTCGGCAAGTGCTGTCTCTTTCATAGCCAAGTACCAGTAGTTGGCGTTAATGAGGCTAACGCCTATGACCACTGTGAAAAGAATATAGACAAGGACAAGGTTGGTCCGGAAGGCGCAGATCAAGTAAAAGAAGCATAAAAGATTGAAACAAACTAAGAAAAACCCTGTATAACATTCGACTTTCGTTAGAATTATTTTCACGCTTCGCTCAAAAAGCAAGAAGAATGAGGTAGTTGACGAACCAAAGCTGGCATTGAAGCCCTCCGTCGCGAGCCCAGTAGTGGGATCACTAGGCGTCGATGAATAGGCTCCATATGCATTATAAAAGGGCTGTAGAGTCGCGGCGAGCGTGAGGTAGAAGCATCCTGAATCATTGATGTCATTAGTATTTAGTGATAGCCAGAAAGGGCCAGCACAATATCACTTACCAAAGGACATGAATACCACGGATGAAAAGGTGTTACCGATTATACACTCCAGTAATCCACCAGCAAGCAAGAGAATGCCTCCAAAAAAGATGTACCCCCCACTAAACAAATAGGGAGTTAGCGTGCACTCCCGAATATAGAATCAGACTGATGCCAACTACTCACATATGAGCAATGCCATTATTGCCAGCTCCTCTCCAACCCATCAGGGAAAAGCATAGAGGGGTCAAGGCCATGACGAAGCCCGTGATAGCTCTAATCTGGTGTCAGTTATTCCTAGAAGAAGCGATATCGACACGGCCTTACATAGGGGTTGGATTGCCAATCATACTCCGCAAGTTCCCAGCAACTGGGGTCTTCGGATTCAAGTAAAGCTTCTCAAATATCTCGGGAGATATCATGATGCTTCCTGTGGACCTAGTCCTCTCAAAGGCAGATAAAATATCTCCATCTTCCGCATGTTGAACGTCCCTAGCAAAGCTTATGCCCTCGGCTTTACTCGCATCAGATGCTCTAGTCATCTTTGTTGGTAAAATAAAATGGTGGAAATAGAAGTGTTTGCAAAGATGGAATTTGAAAGCATCTCCGAAAGGACATTTTCTAGGCAATATATAGCCACATACAAGGATACCAATGTTTACTTGCTTACTTATATTCCGGGGTAGTAGAAAATATCTGTGCACAAAAGTCTCATGGGGGGATACGAAGAAAGGCTTCCACTAGTTAGTCCAGACTTGTCTTCCAAAGATGGCATATCCACGTCGGCGTTGAAACAGAGCAGCAGACAGCTTTTTGGGGCGTAATCTATCGAATCGGATGTACGGAGGACAAGTATGTCCTACGAATCAACACACAAATAGCTTCCGCTGTTGCGGACTCCGCATTCCAACTCCTACTCTTGGAGTAGATAGGCTCTGCAAAACCTCTCGAGCCTGGAGTAATCGAAGTGGATCCTATGCGGGGCCCCGTAAAAATGAGAAGCTGGAGTTACAGCTTGGGGGAATTTGACTGGTCATCTCACTATATTCCCCCAAGTCGGAGCCGCTCCCCAGAAATTCCCGCACGAAATGAGACCCTCAGCGGTTCCCAAGTTCACAAAGTATCATCGCACATTCACCTGATCAAATGGATTGGGTTCATCAGCCCTCTAAAAAGGTTATAAAATCCTTTCAAATACCCTTTGTCGATATTTGTACCATCTGAAGAGAATCAAATCCATCCTCTCCAAAGCTCCTTGTCTCGGTTTATTATAGATTTTGACTCCTTATCGATCCATCCACAATGGCCACCGCAGATACCCAGCAAAACGTTCCCTCTCATATCCGTGGAGTGCCTGGATCGGTCAATATACCAGTAGCAAGCTTCCCAGTTCCCTCCAAATGTGCCACCTGTGAGCCGGAGTATGTTGCATCAAAGATTGTTGAGGCTTTCAACCTTGCATTGACCAAACGCGACTTTTACGGCATAGCGAGCTTATTTGGGGACAACAGCTTCTGGCGTGATCATCTGGCTCTATCCTGGCAGCTTCGAACAGTGCAAGGCCACGAAGCGATCGTGAAATTCCTTGAGAGATGTTCTGAGTCCAGGGACGGCCTGCGACTCCAGAAGATCTCTATTGACAGGAGCACCCCCGTTCGCGCTCCGAAAGAGTGGGCACTTGACGGAGCTGGTGAAGTTCAAGGCATCCAATTTTTCTTTAAAGCAGAAACTGCCCATGGTTCCGCAGTCGGAATCGCTCGCCTCGCTCTGCAAAGTGATGCGTGGAAAATTTTCACCCTGTTTACTGCTCTCCAAGAACTCAAGGGCCATGAGGAGCTTCTTGGGCATCGGAGACCCAAGGGCGCAGAGCACGGCGGTAACCCAGATCGCAAGAATTGGGCGGAAAAGAGAGCCGATTCCTCTGCTTACACTGACGGTCGTGAGCCAAGTGTGCTCATTATCGGTAAGTTTCTATCTAGCCATAATTTTCAAGACCTGAGCTAATCCCTATTTTAAAGGTGGTGGACAGGGTGGTTTAACGGCGGCCGCGAGATTAAAGATGCTTGGAGTAGACTCCCTCATCATCGATAAAAACGAGTCTGTCGGGGATAACTGGCGCCTCCGATATCGTCAGCTTGTCCTACACGATCCTGTTTGGTACGATCACATGCCCTACATGGAGTTTCCAGCGACTTGGCCCATCTTTACTCCGAAGGATAAGCTGGCTGAATTTTTCGAGTGCTACGTCAAAATACTCGAACTTAATGTTTGGACCTCTACGACCATCACCAATTGCGAATGGGATGAGAAAAATGCCAAGTGGACCGTGACACTTTCTCGCCAACAGAAGGATGGAACCACTGAAGAGAGAGTGTTTCACCCGCGCCATATTATCCAAGCGACCGGCCATTCTGGAAAGATGAAAATGCCTGAAGTCCCCGGCATACACAACTTCCAGGGTGACCTTCTTTGTCACTCCTCGCAATTTCCGGGCGCCAAAAGAAATAGCCAAGGCAAAAAGGCGATCGTTGTGGGCTCGTGTAATTCAGCTCACGATATCGCACAAGATTACCAGGAGAGAGGCTACGATATAACTATGGTCCAGAGATCGACAACCTGCATTATCTCCTCGGCTGCTATTACAAAGATCGGTCTGAAGGGCCTCTACGAAGAGGATGGTCCGGTATTGGCAGACGCCGACCTCCTTCTACATGGCACTCCCACACCAGTCATGAAAGCGCATCAGATCCATATTACTTCTCAAGAAGCAGAGCACGACAAGGAGCTTCTTACTGGACTTGAAAAAGCTGGGTTCAAGGTTGATCGTGGCCCCAATGGCGCCGGATTATTTGTCAAATATTTCCAACGCGGTGGCGGCTACTATATCGACGTGGGAGCTTCCCAAATGATCGTGGATGGGAAGATCAAGGTGAAGCAAGGTCAGGAAATTGCTGAAGTTCTGCCTCGAGGCCTTAAATTTGCCGATGGTACTGAGCTAGAAGCTGATGAAATTATCTTCGCTACGGGATACGACAATATGCGCTCTCAAACAAGAACGATGCTGGGCGACAAGGTTGCTGATAAGGTATCTGATGTTTGGGGTTACAATAGCGAAGGAGAAATTAGGACCATGTGGCAGAATAGCGGACATCCAGGATTCTACTTCCATGGAGGCAATTTGGCGACTGCAAGATACTATTCTAAGGTTCTAGCACTCCAGATCAAGGCTCTTGAAGAAGGCATATATCGTCATGGTGAATTCTAAGGGGGATGTACTAGTTCAACATCAACTACATATAATTTGGATTTCCTATAATACATTCTGACTATGTCTTCATTTATATACCACTTGAACTTGTGTATTTGTATACATCAGTCCCCGTATAGTATTCCCAGGGTGGAGATCAGATGGGGTTATGCGCCACCCCCGCATTTTTCACAAAATAAGTCAGCAAGTGTTATTTTATTTCAACGGCACCGTCTTTGTCTTTTAATATATTAGCCCAACTCGGCTGGGTATGTCTTGCATATCGGAAATAATTCTTTTGCTGCAGCCAATTCCTCCCCTAGCTATCCAGCCATGGGAAAGAGACGTCAAAATCACTCCTGCGAGCAGTGCAAGAAAGCAAAAAAAGCCTGCGATGGTCATATACTAAATAGTGAGGCCGTATCCATAGAAGCTGAGAGTGCGTCCGCTCCCCCGGCAGCCCCCTCTTCCCCACCCGTTCCGGTGTTCCTATGCAAATCCAAACAGCTGGCTAAAGATGGTTCGCATCAAAAGACTTCGGCATAATCTCTCCGTGCACTTACTGTGTCAGGACAACCAAAACCTGCAGTCTAAACCCTCACTGGGGTCAAGGTGATCGACCAACAGTTAGGAATGTGATTACGCGCTCTGGAAGTATTGGACTAGATGATGAACCACGCCGGGGCAAACGGCAGCGAATTCAGCCAGAGAATGATATCGAGGTGTCGGTGACACCCATTTGTACGGTGCCTTACCAAAATTCAGCCACAGAACCTTTATATGTGCCTTTCCCAGAAGATAACGTGGTTGATTGGGACGCGCTCTCTGTGCCAATTTCCCCTCGTTCCATTAGCCAGTCAAGCCTAGCGAGGGCTCTTTCAGGATACGAGAATTGTGCGCACCCAGGGGACTCGGGAAAAGTGAGCTCCATAGCTGGATCTGACAACAAGAATGTGAACCAGGTCGAATATAACGGCTTGGATAGCCTCATGGATTCAGCAATGGCAAATTCCACCTCTGACGATTCTCACTACTCTGACTTCAATTTACAAAGCTTCATTCCTGACACCTCCCAACCGCTTTTCTACAATTCCATTCCCGCTTTCTCTATATCTTCGGCATTGGAGGAGACAGGACAAGACGAATTACAGAGAGAGCACGAAAAACGGAAAGATTTCAATGACTTGCAAAACCACTTTGCCATGACACTGTCTCTATTTGGTGCGGGCCGTATTCTTATGGAAAGTTCGAATCGATTGCTCATATCTGAGAGCCTTCTGCGAATTTACCATGATGTTCTAGAAAACAATCTCAGTTGCTGGTTGGCAGAGGATACGTGCCCATACAAGATGCGGCAAAGGCGGCTTGAACACCTCTCTATCCACCAGAGCCCGAGTTCAGGACAATTACCGCCCGAATGGGGCGTGTCATGGTCAAATCGCATGTACTGCCGTATAAAACAGCTTGATCGATCTGCCCGGCTGGCGAAGCTAGTTCATCTCACTGCATCTGAAAATCGAGCGGCTTCTAAAGCCCTCGAGTTATCTATTATGGCATTTGCCACACAGTGGGCCCAAGGAGGACAGCGCCGGGATGATTACTGGCTGGTAAATAGTTGCGAGGATGATGGTTTGCGCGACGAATTTGGGCAAATACTACATCGGTCTATTTGGGATTATGCAAACCAGGCGCTTCAAGATGTCTCCCACGTGGAGTGCTTTAGGGTGGTTTTTGCTGAGCTGGTTTTTGGTCTTATACAGAAGCCGTCGTCAGGCTATTTCGATGCGCGCTCGAAGGAAAGGCAGGACACTGATCAAAACAAAAGTCCGAAGCCTTCAGCGTTGTCCCAGGTCATGGACATCATTCATCAAGGGGAACCGCCCATATTTATAGAGCGAGGGGCTCGCAAAATACACGTGCTCAAAAGCAGATTCAAAGCGCGCCAAGCAGGCTTTCACTACCACGGTACCAAATTAGACGAGCAAGTCCCTCGACAATTCAGCACAGAAGAGACCCAAACAGTTGGCCTCTTGTACTGGCTCGCAATCATGTTTGACACGGTCTCTTCATCCATGAATGAGCGGCCGGTCGTCGTTCCTGACGAAGAATGTCAACACGAAGCTGCACAGGAGGCAGTGCAAAATGATATTCAAACCCCGGTCTCTAGTCGTCGATGGGAACTTGACCTCTACGCCCAGGAAGATTCTGAGAAGGCATTAGCCCTGCGTTGGCCTTGCTTGACCGAGTCTATTATCAAAGCCCTTCCCAGATCAGCAGCTGTCAAAGTGCTGCTCTTTCGCTATATCTCATATCTTCAGAACTCTCTACGAAATGCCGAGTGCAGCCAAGTCGTGGAAGACATAATCCAGCGCACGATATGTGTGTACCGCTATTGGATGAGGACGCATGGGTCTTTATTCCGCGACCTGACCAGGCACTACGATTCAATCCCTCCGCGGATTAAGAGCTGGTTCCCGTGTATTAGTATCCCCTGGCATCTTGGTTCACTCATGCTGGCCGATCTGATCGAGTTCGTGGATGTGAACAGACTTGGCGGCAATGACTACATGGCAGAGCGTCAAGATGCCTGTCTGGTAATGAGAATCCGGAAAGAAAGCTCAATCGATATGGCAGACCTTGCAGCTGTCATGATCCCTGGACCTTTGGGGGGGATAGGTTTAAATCAACTGCCGGGCTTTCACTTCGCCGTCAATAAAAGCCCACTTTTGACTGAGCCCTGGACGGTGCTCCATGTTAGGGCGTTTTCAAAAGCTTCAATATTTCACTTGAAGGAAATAGAAAAGCTACAGAAGTACCAAATTCTTGTCTTTGATCATGAAAGAAAGGCCTTGCAGGCGAGTGTTGCACGACTCGAGAACTGTGTTACAGCACTCCGATTCCTGGGCATCAAATCGAGGATGGCTGAGGCTATTTCCATAGTACTATCTGAGTCGCTGAATAAATGTCGACCTCTGGGCTGATTTCTTGACAAGCCAATGTTCACATTTATTTAATGTCGTCATACGTGCCGTTTGATATGGGTTTGCGTATTCGAAAGGGTGACTTCATAGCTAGGAGTTGTCCAATAAAGATAGTTGCGTACAGCACTAGAGATAATAGAATGAGAGGTGTACAGCGTTCTTCAAGACATGGGGAAGGGGAAGCTTTGAAATATGAAAATATTAGTATTAAATACATAATTTAAACGGCCCAACACCACATCATGTTCTCGACAAAGTATCTCAATTTGATAATACGGGTGCCTTTCCAATCCACGTGGAATCTTCGCTCATCTCAGCCAACACCCACGCCGCAATACTTTTTCTAGACAAAAACATCCCATCATCACCGGACCCGGTAAAGGTTGCTTTTACCGGCGCTTCGGGTCCGTTGCCAAGGAAGGGGACCCGAAAGAGAGTCCATTTCAGTTCTTCGGGATCATGAGAACTCACGAATGAGCCTAATCCGTTGAACTCCCGATAAGCCGAGCCACCGATGATCTTGACAAGGACGATCAAAGCTTTCCACTTAAGACTACCTTTGTCCTGTGGTGCATGGAATGAGCAGGTGCCGAGTACCAGAGCTCGTTTGTAGTTGTTGTCGATTAGCAGTGGGAATATAAATTTCATAGCATCGGTAACAGGCTATCGAGTGTTATTTTCTTATCCTTAGCTCAACAGCGGGTATAGAGAGACTTACCGTGCCTTTCGAGTTCGCTGTTGGTCCAGCAAAAGAAACAAAGACGGTGGCACCGGAGGTTATTGCTCGACGTAACTGAGAGTCATCCTCGAGAGTACCCTCGATAACCGAGACAAGGGCATTGCCTTTGATGTCCTCGGGTATTTTTTTTGGGTTTCTCACATACAAAGTTAATTGATGTGCTTGGTGCAATGCAGCTCGGCAAAAATCTAACCCTGACTGGCCTAAAGCATGGTAAGATGGAACTTCGAAGAGTAGGAAGGGTGCATACCAGTAGACCCAAGAACTAAGATGTGAGATACCATGATGACGAATTTTCTAATCAAGTATGTCAGGAGATCCTATATTAAGGCTTCTCCAGGTATTCCAAGACCTCATGAACTATTTGTAATATTATTAATCCATCCATGGATGTGATTAGAAATTTACCTATGTTGCCCAGGTGTAGATGTTATAACCCTTGGCAGGGATAGGGTTCCGGTATTAAACTTGGTATTCCGGTATTCCAAATTGGTATCCGGCCGGTATTTACCCCGGGTTGCCGGTATTATTTCAGAGTGAGGTAAGTGATAGAGCTCGGCCAAGCATGTGATATAACATACAACAGCAAGTTATCGTTTTTTTAATCATACGTGGACCATATCTACTCAATGCTACGGCAGTGGCTTTTTCGCTCTACATTAAAAGGAACCAAAATGAAGAATTCAAAAATCAGCCATAAAGGCAGATAAATTGACCCAAGAGAATTGCAATTTGCAAGACAGGCAAGTGCAACGCCTAGACTATTGTAAACGCATCTCCCAATAAAAAACATCGAAAGATCCCAACCTCTTCGGAGGTCGGAACGATACATAAAAACGTAAAAACCAACAGGGGAGAAATAAATCGAATTCGAAATACCCGGCCATGCTGCCAGGCTTCCGTGCCATCCCAAATTTCGCTCGAAACAAGACCAAAGATCAACATGAAAAAGACCCTAGACAGTAAATGGATAATCAACTCGGATTTCGGCTGGAAACCACGAGAAACGCCGTTCGCGAAAACAAGAACAAATAACAAAAGCAAGGTTGCGCGCACTGGGTATAGGTGATAATCAATCTTCGTGATCCCGTTTTCAATTCCTGGTCTGGATCCAGATATGAGCCAGACCAGGAGAGGAATGATTGGATTTGGAGTTCAATTCGCCTGCCTTCGGCACTCGGAGGATTTTCCGCAGGTTTGAATGTCCCATTTTTTGAGTCGCCGGCGATCATAGATAGTAAAGAGAGAGAAACAAATGGTCGTGCAGTACGTAAGACGTAAAGAACGAGGAAAATCGTAAAGAGTAATAATACAATGAGGTGAGGCCCTTGGTGCCCCTGCTTCAATGGGTGTCGGCTGAAGAGATGTGTCGAGAGCCATGATTGCTGGTGAGGACTCTAGCGGCCGAATTGAGACCAGACCGTGCTCAGCCAACCGGCGGGAATACCGATCTCAGAAGGCGCGAGCATAGATAGCTGACCCCATTCGCACCCATCTAGGAAGGCGAGGACATCGTCTCCGCCGAGACTTGTTGATAGCAGGGTTGAGTCTGGGTATTCGGTTGAGGTCAAAGGCGGGGATGGGGCCAGTTGAGTAACAGATCCCGGTGGGGGGAGGACGGGAATAGTGTGCGAGGTGGCTGCGTTGATGGGGGGGAGAGACTGGGAATATGGTGGGGGAGGAGCCTGCGGGCGGGCTGGGAGCCAGGAGTTGATGGGATTCAGACGGTTGCTTGTTGCCGTCAAGTACTGGGATGGGGACTGCGTAGTTGCTGATAGAGATGGGAAGCTCGGAGACGAGGTAGTGTAAATGGGGCCATCAGGGTGATGTTGCTGAAGGGATGGGAGGGAGTAGGGTGATCCAGATGGCATTTGGCGACTATTGGGAAGTGGTAGGCTGGGACGGCGATCGCCGTCGTGTCCAGGTAGTGACAGACCCGGGCTGTTTACTGGGACCCACGACTCACGGCGACCACCGGCGCCGTCGAGTACCTGGTCACTAGGATCACCAGTTTCGCTCCTAACGGCGTTGCTTCCAGCATCACTCATATTACGCTCGTAGATGGCCTCATTGGCTGCGGGAACTGCAACACTATCCTCATCCATTCCGGGCTCTACCAACTGGTCCTCGATGCTTCCAAAGTCGAGGAAGAGCTTTTCGAGCAATTTGAATTCCTCGAGACCTCCACCAGCACCCCCTTCGCGAAGGAGGCGAACCCCATTGAGGGCGTGGTCAGAGGCATCCGACATACTATCCAGGCGATTCCGGGAAAGCCGGCGGAAATCACGCTTCACTTTGGAGAAGTAGCTATGAAGGCGATTCAGGGTACGGAACCAGCCCATCGCCATCTTCAGACGAGGCCGCATCTCTCGCATGATATCCAAGGCCTTGCGTGCTTGTGCGACACCGAGCTCGTGGCTATCATGAGTTGCAGGGGGTGGTTTGGTTCCCATCAATCCATCTGGGTCCATGTGTGGGAAATGTGTTCCATAGACACCGACAAAAGCGGCATTGTAGATAGCAAATCCGACCAAAGGATTCTCAACAAGAGCACTGCGGGCTTGGCAGGTGGCCACAAGGTCGATCATCTGCCGCGCTGCCTTGAAGAGCTCACGAGCACTATCTCGCCAGAAACCGTCGGGTGGGCCATTGACCTTATCAACAGCAAACAACGGCTCGTCCAAGGGGCCACAAGGCTCATTGCAGCGGAGAGGTAGGAATGGAATGTAGGCACGGTGAAGGACGATCACTGATAGGAAGTAGACAACATGCATCACTGTATATGAAGCCAGAGTGGTCTTGTACATGATGTGCGTGTCAGTGTTTCGGAGGGAATATTGGAGGTTGCGAGAAAGGCTGTCCTGGAACTCGTTCAACTGCTGACGGAGCGAGGCAAAGCGAGATTCAGGATGCCAGGGAGGATATTGCTCCGTGCGTCGACCGCCAGCGCAAGACCATTTGGCAATGCTTCCCCAAATACGAATGATTCGAATAACTCGGCTGAGAACCGACTCCTCTGCGCCAACCTCCCATCGATCAACCTCCTCCTCGCTCGAGTCCTTGCGGCGAGAAATAGGTGACCAGGACTTGCCATCTGGAGTCCCGTTAGGTCCTGGAAGTTTTTCATCGCCAAAGCCTCCTATACTTTGACGGATGCTGGGGATTTGCATGCTTTGTGAACCGAAGCTCTGCGGGCGCCGAACGGTCGGCTCATTGAGTCGAGCCGTCCGAACACGCTCACCGAAAGCAAAAGCATTGTCACTCGGAAGCTGAATTCCGAGTTCCTTAACTCGAACCATCCGAGGCCGGTACTTTCCACTGCTAAGGCATCGATCGAGGATAAAACAGGCCCAAAATGTCCGGCGTTTGGTCTCTTGCGCAATGATATCATCAGAGGTCGGCTCCCTTGGTTCTACACGCCGTGGCACACCAAAATGATCTGCCTCGGTCTTCAACCCCGGGGATGATCCCGAAGGATCTCGCGCTGGGAATTCATTTTCAAGTTCAAAGGGCAGGCCCATGGCCTGTGCAAGACGGATAGCCATGCCCACGTAGACCCAAGCACTCTTGCCTCGGCACATCCCCCACTCGTGCAAGGCCAGCATTAATAGCGCCTGTACACGCGCAAGATCAGGCTGAGCGAGACAAGCACCATCTAAGCCGGCCAGCCGGCTGCGGAGAGCGGCCGCATAGTATTCCGATGCGGCAAGCGGATTCGAGGAATGATTAGGCGACGCTGGTGAGTGAGCTGCAGCCAATGGAGGATGAAATCGAGCAGTCAGGGCAAGTACACCCAGCGGAATCAGTGAAGAGGATGGGTCCAGCTTATACACGGGATTTCGGGGATCTTGTCCATCGAGTGTCGCGGGAGGAGCAGCGGGAGAGGAAAGCTGTCGAATCTGGCCGAGAAAAGTCGCGGGGTGTAGGAAGGGAAGAAGAGTCGCGAAATGCGATTGGAAGAGATCGAAGACGGCCTCCCAAACTTTTGGTGTAAGTATCGAGGAATCAAGCGCATCCATACCGAGCTTGGAACCAGCTGATGAGCCGGAAATGCCTGTCACTTTGCGCGAACGATGTCGTTTCGGGCCATCCCAGTCACCATTTCGATCCTCGCCTTCTGCTAGTGTGGCTAAATCTCGTTTGGCGCCGCTCACTCCGATTGCTGGGGTTGGGTAGACACATTCGCGCCCGGATGATTCGCAGGCGCGACAGGTTGTATCGATGCCGGCATTGACGCACTTAATTTTACTGCGCCGGCATCGAGCGCAAGCGATGCTAGACCGCATGGTGTATTGGACAGACCCGAGGTCTGTGAATAGGTAATAGCTCGATTTGTATCAATCGCAATTCTCCCATTTACTATCACAGTATCAGGGTTTTCGAAGGGAAGATTGTCGGCTTCTCAATGGTTAGCATTGCACGGATATGCCATAGTAGCCAACTTACTCGAAAAAATGAATAAAAAAGAAGGGAAAGAGCCAAGGGAGAAGAAGAAGAAAGGCGGAGTGTGGGGGAAACTCAAAGAAGTCGGGGCACCGGACCGGGAGAAACACAAATCGGGAGGGAACGGGGAAATTATCTCGACCGGGGGAAAATGGTAAAAGAAAGAAAATAAAAATAAAAAATAAAAAATAAAAATTCAGAGCCGCTGAAATTGCGGAGGGCCAAAACTATGCAAGGACGCGCTTTTTCCTGGAGGTGGAGCATCCCCAGTTTCCGGGCTGCCGAGTTACGTAGTTCTTATTACTTATAATATATACCTACCTCTCTACCTAGTGTACCTAACCTATAAATATTAACTTATAAAATTATTTACTATTTTACTAGATATACACTCTTACTCCGTTATTTATCCTTCCGGCACGGGAAATACTATAATTCCTAAATAGGGAATATTCCCAACTTTTACCCTGTGATCTCATGATCGTCATCTCGCATCTCTACCCGACTCGGGCTCACCTCACGGTCCGAAAAAAAGAAATGAGAAAAAAAAAACAAAATACAATCTGTCCTGTCAAGTAGGACAATGTCTGTTCTACCGGACCAAATCCAGATCCAAACCACCCGAACTAGCTGGAATAACAATACCCGTCCACTCCCCGGCCGATTGTCCTCCGGCCATTTTCCGGCATTTTTCCTTCATATGGGGCCCGTGAGGATAAATTAATAGTCCCCAAATCTGGGGGAGCTGTAGATTTGGGGAACAGACATGCAATGTGGTACTTCCTGGTTTCATGGCCTAGACCTTTAGGGTGTTCCGTACGGAGTACGGAGCACAAAGGTACCATTTAACTCTACCTAGGCAATTGACAAGGTCTTACCCCCGTGGCAGCTGATGTCCGATCGGCATTTGTCTGGGCGGGAATCCATACACCGTCTCTTCCCGCGTCGGGAACACCAAAATAGGTAAGCGGGAAGAAAAGCCTTCTGGGGAGTGTACCCAGATGGGGGGGGACATTCTCGGAGAGTACAGCGAGAATGCAGAGTTGCCAGTAGAAAAAGAACCGATAACCGAAAGGTGACCCCACAAGATGCCAAAGAAACCAGTGGACCGGATCATAAGGCTTCTCTATTTACCACATGGGTTTTTTTTTTTTCCCTTCTGTCAAGAGGGGTATCTCGGGCCATTTGGATCCCTCGGGTATAACCTCGTCCCCAGAACATGGGTAGACCTGCCATCGACGTAGCCTATAGGAGGATCAATCTGGGGGAGAAGGGGATGTAGCATCCAATCAACAGTTTCCAAGACCAACCCTGGACGGGGCTCCCCGCAAAGAAACGAGATCCTAGATCCTCACGGGAGTTACATTGAGAGTTACCCTTTGATTGGCGTCGGCTGTGACCTTTTCACACCCCCGTACTCCGTATTTGACGGCGGTCTCCGTGTGACGTTCCTACAGTGGGCTGTTTACCTTTTAGCCCCCTTGCCACCCGTCACAGGAAGATTCGGGGGATCAGATCGCTCGGCAGAAGAATGAGTTTGACCCTCGGAAACATATTATTCACGGGATTGTCAGACTGATCTCCATTCTACCATTCTGCCATCCTGCATAAGTGCAAACAGTGGCCGACTGCAGCTCATCCCTTACGGGAAGTCCAAAATGTAGTTCCGAGGTTATACACATGTCTAGGAATGTTGCACATCGGAAAGGTCATACACCGAGTTTTTCCCCCCCGGTCACATTTCGGCCCCATCCGATTCAGCGATTGGACTGCAACCTCCGAGGCTCCAGCGATTGGACCCCGGATAACCCCGCATTTACTTTATATTAGGTAAGTCGGACTTTTTTCCCCAAGGTTAGGTACGGAGTAGTAGAAGTATTGGAGTATATAGTAAAGTAGCATTTATTATATATTTACAAAGTAACCTTACAAAGATCTTACGAAGACCTTAAGTAGTAAATACATAGTATCTACTTTATGTAGTATGTATACAGAAACTTAAAAAAAAAAAAAAAGGAAATTTACAAAGGTTGAACAGTCTTGGAGTAAAATTTCCCATACAACATCCACATTCTTGGCTCTCCACATCTCAGGTGACATTAATAAAAGAAACTCCCCTTTCCCAACTTTGATATTATCCGAGGCATCCCGTGCTCTTTCCATTCATAAATAAGCCTCCAGCGCGCCATGGCTTTAAAATCTTTTCTGATCGGAAATCGTTTATTTCCGCTTCCTGTCCCTTCTCGGCACGGAGCACTTGCCGGCATATAACTTGTCGGCACGTGGTAATCGTTCGATATTTTACTCCGTACTCCGTGCTCTATACGCAAATCTCTTAATTTCCGTTAAACCCTAAATAAATAGTAACCAAAGACCTGGGAAGGTATATCCCGGATTTTACTACGGAGTACCCCGTAAACAGATGAAAAAAAAGGATTCGAAAGAACGAGCCAAGAACAATCCCCTCCCCACATCGGCTCGGTTAGAACACATCGGTGGCATACCGAGTCTCCCGAGTCCGGATTAGGACATGGAGCCTACCGTGCATGACTGTTTAGTCCGGTAATTCTCCGATGGCTAAAATCTTGTGCCTCCGGACCTTAATAGACTGTGATATTAGCATAATTACACCTTATTTGTGTGCGTCTGCTGACTCTTTGGTCGGCGACTCAATCCCGAGCCCTATCCCCACTCCCCGGGGGTACCGGGCTAACTGTACACAGTTTTACTTTTTAGCCTAATCTATCAGGCCGGTTAAGTGAGCTCTTGTCTCAGTTTGCTTTACAGTTTTTGACATGGATTAATGCGAACTCTTCACCAATCATTATTGGCTGTAGAGAAATGAAATTAAATGTGTCGGATATAGAACGCACCCCAGAGTGGGTATATGATGAGTGATCATAATAAAATCCAAAAAGCAAAGCAAACAAACATGATACAGAGAAGAGAAGTAATAACCAAAAAGAAAGTCCCCAGGGTTGGGAATAGTAAATTAAAAGATCGATATCATATCGTCAACAAGGACCCGGCCCGATGACTATGCTGGGTGTGGGATTTCAACGAAGTACCTAGCAACACAATTAGTAACAAACACTTGTCAACCATCCAGAAAACCCACATACCAAGACGCAAGAGCGATAATGAGATACATCATTATCAACAAGACACCCTCGAGCCAGTGAGACTTGCCATCACCAATGAGGTAGTTGACCTATGAAACACCAGTCAATACAATGACATCACTTTGTCCTTGTGGGCACTTACCAAAAGAACAGACATAAACAGGACAATCACCTGGAACCCATCGAAGTTGAGAGTCTGTCGAAGTTAGTACCAACTCCCAATTTAAATAAATATTATGCATAGAGCTCATCCATACCATAGCCTCTTCACCAATGATCCATCCAAGAACAATAATCAACGGCAACACAAGCAGCGCAATCTGCATGCTGGATCCGACCGCGACTCCAATAGCAAGATCCATCTTATCCTTACACGCGACTGTCACCGCGGTAGCGTGCTCAGCCGCATTACCAACGATAGGAAGAAGGATCAGTCCGACGAATGTCTCGCCGATGTTACCGGTAGCTGTCAAAGCATCGATGGATTCAACCTGCATAGATAGGTGAGCTTACCACAATCGCACAAAGAAAGAAACCAAGATATGGAACTGATCTAGGAATGGGCATTTGCTCACCATAAACTCAGCACATGCAGCAACAAACCCAGTCGAGATAATGAGCGTGAGGATGGCAGTCATAACAGACAACTGCGGCTCCTCAGTTTCATCATCGAGATCCTCCATTTGCATGTGGTCCGGGCTCTGTCCGACCAACGGCACGGCAGTCATTTTTCCGATCTGGGCGATGCCCCGACTGGCATCGCCTTCGCTGACTTTAGCGGTTCGCCGTTCAACCTTCTCGCTGGGACGGTTGTAAACTTCGGCGTGCGACTTTAGCTGGAAGAAGAGGTAGCAGCCGTACACAATTAGAAGAAGGACACTGGTGCCTGCATGCGATATGAGTAAGAAGATAGATAAATCGACAGACACAGACAGAAGTGCTAGCAGGTAACGTACCTCGAGATAGGCCGGCGGTTCCGTCTTTTTCACTAACTATAATCAATATTCTTGTTAGCTCTCATGTTGACTTGCGGGTCCTAGGAGCAGTCACAACTGACGGTCAGACCACCTGTGATAGGCAGTAGGGATGATCAAACTGCTGACAGCTAACGCGAGCATACTCGCGGCTGTCTGGGCAACCGTCACGTTGAAGTTTTGCTCTACGCGAGGGATACCACCGAGCAAAAAGGACATCCCCATCACCAGGAGCAGGTTGGATAAAATGCTTCCGATGAGCGAGGTCTGCACTATGAGAGTTTTGCCGTGAACCAATGCAATGATTGCAACGATCAACTCAACGGCGTTACTATATGGGTCAGAAATGGTGCTATGGAAGGAGACAAAGGGCAGTGTAAAGCATACCCGAATGATGCATTAAGCAAACCACCGATTGTTTCACTCGTGCTAGAATTAATGTAAGTATGGGTGAAATAGACCAGGAAATATTGAAGCATACCGAAGGGCAATCTCTTCGGTTGCGAAACTGAGCATGGCAGCAAGAGGACTAGTAGATGCTTGTTAGCCATAAGATCCTCCAGGATGGTCAGCTGTATATATCGCTTACATGATAGCAATGAAGTTAACGACGAAGACGGCAATCGGATTAGCTTTGACGGCAAAAAGAGCAACTGCACTCAGACATATGATTAGCACGTTTAATTCCATAGATCAATAGCCAGCCGGAAGAGAATACATACTTCCAACAGGCGCAGCGATCAAAAGAACGTTGATCCACGAGTTCAAGATAGTAGCCCTTAACTGCGAGGCAAAAGTGAATTTTTGGTGGGGCTTCTTATCCTCCAACTCATCGTCATCATGGCGATGCTTAAACTTGCCCAAGATGCCACCCTTCCGCTGACGCGTTTGCGCGGATCCAAGAGTCTCAGTATCAGTCCCGCGCACCGATGGGACATTGATCGGATCCTGGCTAGCCATGGACGGCTCAGGCGGAGACTTCTGTGTTTCATGGTCGCTGCCAGCGAGCTCCGGCGGGAACGTGTTCGAGTACTCCGGGACGCTGATTCCGGCGTTCATTTCCTCTCGACGCTGCTGGTCTGCGGGGAGGTCTCCCATACTCCGGGTATGGGTCAGTCCATTCTCAAGCTGCATAGAGTTCGATCGGTTGTGTGTTTTTTTGCCGAATATTTGGTATGGGTTCCAGGAGCGCTCTCCGCTGTTGTGGCGTGCTAGTCGGTTGGCTGCACTGCGAGTTGAATCTATTCGTGTTTTAGTATGGCTGGCCAATTCAAACGTTGAATATCTATGAATCTTGGACTTACACATGATGGCGGATTTCTGTGAGCTTTTGTAGAGAAATGGATGCGTAAGTATGGTCGATATATATATTTCAAGGGGAAAGGACAAAGCAATAGCGGTTGGGAGTAAAGAGGGCAGCAGTGATGTTCAATTTAGGCCAATTGATACACGCCACAGCGTGGCTTGGGCCTGCGACGCTTGCGACGGGTGCCTATGAAAAAGCGCTAAGGGAACACGTACTCGCTAACGGGTTTCGAGATGTGGGCAACTCAGTAGGTTGACAGGCTGAACCGATTACGGCAGTCTAATCACTGTACAGGGATGTGCCTCAAGATACAGCCACAGCAGGATGATGGATGGTGTTTAAAAGGGGACCCAAATAATGGCGCACGCACAGGGGGGAAATTCAGAGTCACGCCCAAGTAAGGGGTAAGGAAATCAACAAAGACCAAATGAATGACAGTTATGAAACGAGTGCGGTCAGAAAGAGAGCAAAAAGAGGGACTGGGAAATGAAGGGATAAAATCTGTTAACCAGGATTTCTCCAACAAACTTGAAGAGTTGAGAAACACAGCCACACTGCGATCGTGATGGTACCGTGTAGTATAGTGGAGTAAATATGAGCTTAGCGCCTAAGTGGAAAAAGCATCGGATCGCGAGACTAGGGAGTACAACATACAGAGTATAAAGTACTCCGTGGCAAATAACAAGGATAAGTATTTGTTTTCAAGCCCAGTTCTATAAATGCAGACTCAAACATGAATGTTGAATATTGAATATCGGTGAATATGATGTGTTGGCTCTTGGCCAAGCTCCAAAAGCTTGGAACAAAAAGCTTCGGCAGTGGAAGCTTTTTGTTTTGTGCTTGGATTACTTGGCAAAAATTTCAACCTTTGAATTGTTGAAATCTGTCAAACAACACACAATATCTTCCTGCAGCTGTTTTGTCAATGATAACATAGGCAAATTTCAAACACAAATTGTATGTGGAGTAGGGGGTTTTGACCCGCTCTTGGCAGTGTTGGTCAAGTCTCGACGGGATTTCTTAACGCCACAGCCCCTTTTCGTGGCTTTCCAAGGCACATAATGAAACAATCACGTGTTTTCAAACTTGGGATCAGTTGTAAGCATTAAAGCTCCATCACCTGAGTATCCTCGGGCATCGGGCAGGCGCTTAGGATGGGACTCCCCCAAGAAAAAGGGATTGTGATCCTATCATTAGGCACTCCAGTGTTCTATATTGACACTTGCTATAGGAATGCTCCTCGTAATAATGCGGTAATCAATTCAAGCCTCAGGAAGGTACTGCAGACGTGGCTTAGGCTCTCTGACCCAAAAGTAAATGGCTGTTGTCACCCGAGGAAACACGCGTATCCATTAGCTCTCAGCTGAGTGAGCTGAGTTGGCGTAGCTTGTTGTCATCCTTCTGTTTCTGTTGCGTTGGTATCTGTGCTGCAAGGTCCGTGGTTGGTGGTGAAGCAGCGAGGAGCCAGGCAGCAAAAGGGAAGAAAGTCAGAAGACTCAGATTAAATAGCAAATGCGTTGTATTCAAAAAAGGAAAAAAGTTCAGCCCTACGGATTTTCCATCCTGAGGGTCTTGAAATAGTTGCTGCCTACATATTTCGCGCTAGCCACTTTAAGCCAGGGCTTTCCTATGTTGTATGAGCTTCCAAGGTTTGATGCCTGGCAACTTTGTAATCTGATCCACATTATTTACACCTGTTAAAAATAGAGGGGAATGGCTGAAAATGGCTGGACTTATGTGGTGCTGCGAAGCCTAAAGGCCTAACACTTTAACCATGTTTAGGCGTTGATCATGCCCATGTCTCTTACTTGTCTAATAGTTAACTTCAGAATTGATGTTTGTCTTCTTGTGGTAAGTCGGACCTTTGCGAGGACATAGGACCCGTCGTCGGTGCCTAGGATAGAGACCCTCCTGTACATATTTGACTGGTATATTTATCATACATACATACCGACAATAAAGGGGATCAGTCCCTGTTAGTCCGTAGATAAATAAGAGAGTTTTGTCTAAGCCCCAATGTCAAGAAATATCTCATACATACTCCGTACTGATAATAAAAACAAAGAATCCACCACTACTCCATACCAAGCGGGTTATGAGGTCGCCGCAAAAGCTTGGTAAAGCAAGATACTATGGAGTCGAGAGAGAGAGAATTGACTTCATCGTGGTATACCTATAGTTGTACTCCGTAGTATGCTATGACCCGCTTTTGACGTGATTTGTGATATTCAGGGGTGTAGCTACCCCTGAGCTGCACTGCCTGGTCTCGAATATTATGGTCTCTGTTAGACTGGACATCGTAGCTTGCGGTCCTTTTTTTTAAGAAAAATGGATTGGCGCTATTATCTCCATTGAAAACCTTAAGAAGGCTGCGATAATATAACTGGAGGATATGTTACTCCGTACGGAGTAGTGCCTACTGTACTATCTAATAGACGGAGTAAATTTAGATATAGTTGTCTCAAATTGATACGAAACAGATAGACTAAATTTATCCGTACAGAATATACGGGTATAATTAAATGCGATCCATGGATTGGCCCCAAATTCTTCAGACCTAGGTACTCAATACACACTCTCTTTGCACTCTACTGCTCATGAGATCTGCAATTTTATGGAGTCTTATAAATGTTGAAATATACAAGCCTTAGCCAAGAATGCCCAGAAATTTCACCCCGACGTCATCGCACAGATCGCCCTTGGCAACGAACAAGCTTTCTGACTTTGATAGAAAAATGATATCTTGTCTACGGAATATACAAATATTATATGTTGTATATACGTAGTACTAAAAGGTTAACCTTAAATGAGCCGTGTCTTAACAAGTTGGACTTTTTTTTTAAATATATGTTGTAGAGGAAAATGAGGATTTGGGCCAGCCGTCCACGGGCTGACTAGCGCATACACTTGTTTCAGGGGAAGTGGCAAATAAGCAAAGGGTTTAACGGGAAAGGCTTAATAGAAAGGGATAAGTGGATGAATATAGTGGAGAGGTGGAGTGAAAAGGCCAATGACGGAATATCAGCTTCTTCCACTTTTATTTCTCACCGTATGGATTGCCAATCATATCATTCAATTGATTTACTAAAAACAAATATAACAAATATAACCGGGTACTTTGTACGATGTAACTGATATGCGGGCTTACCCACTTGAATGCGCGTACGTACCCCCCCTTGTGTCCTCTTCCCCCCCCTTCTCTCTTTTATTCTCCTCCCTTCCTATATACTAGATTTGCTTTCTTTCTCTTAATTACGTTCGCTATTAAAAACATAAAAGACAGTGTGTGCCTGTCAGACATTCGTTCGGAGTTCATTTCCTTGCACAATGAAGGCCTCTATAATTGCTGGTCTCTCCCTTCTGGGAGCGGCCATGGCTGCCGACATCCCCTCTATTGAGATCAAGGGCAAGAAGTTCTTCTACTCCAACAACGGCACCGAATTCTTTATCCGTGGTGTCGCTTACCAGCCCGAATACACTGGTGATTCCAGCAGCAAGACTACATACACCGACCCGCTGGCCATCGACAGCTGCAAGCGTGATATTCCGTACTTGACCCAATTGCGCACCAATGTTGTCCGTACATACGCTGTCGACCCCAGCAAGGATCACGATGAGTGTATGAACGCCCTCGCCGATGCCGGTATCTACCTGATCACCGATCTGTCTTCGCCTAGCGAATCTATTGTGTCCAGCGACCCTACCTGGAACGCGGATCTCTTCACTCGCTACTCCCAGGTCGTCGATGCCTTCGCCAAGTACCCCAATGTTATCGGATTCTTTGCCGGAAACGAAGTTGCCAATGAGGTCAACAACACCAACTCCATGGCCTACGTCAAGGCCGCCGTCCGCGACATGAAGTCCTACATCAAGCAAAAGAACTACCGTTCCTCCCTCGCCGTCGGCTACGCCACTGACGACGATGCCACCGTCCGCGAAGCTGTCTCCAACTACCTGATCTGCGATGAAGCCGCCGACTCCATCGACTTCTTCGGCTACAACATCTACGAGTGGTGTGGCGACTCCAGCTTCCAGAAATCCGGCTACGCCGAGCGCACCAAGGAATTCGCAGACTACCCCGTTCCCGCCTTCTTCTCCGAGTACGGCTGCAACGAAGTCCGCCCCCGCAAGTTCACCGACGTCCCCGTCCTGTACAGCGACAAGATGACTGACGTCTGGTCCGGCGGTATCGTCTACATGTACTACGAAGAAGCCAACAAATACGGTCTTGTCTCCGCCGACGGCGACAAAATCAAGACCCTCTCCGATTTCGAAAACCTCTCCAAGCAAATGGCCTCTGTGTCCCCGACCGGTGTGAACTCAGAGAAGTACTCCGTCACCACCACAGTTGGCCGCAGCTGCCCTACCGTTGGCTCGGACTGGAACGCCGCCAGCAAGCTGCCCCCTGCGCCCAACGCAGACCTCTGCGAGTGCATGTACGCTTCCCTCGAGTGTGCCCCTAACTCCGACATCACCGAGAAGCAGGTCGGATCCACTTTCAGCTACCTCGGCGGCGAGAAGGGCGTCATGGACGGAGTGAAGTCCAACGCTACAACTGGAACCTACGGCGCTTACTCCATGTGCTCTGCTAAGCAGCGTCTGGCCTGGGCTATGAACGCTTACTACAAGAAGAACAAGGGCAGCGCTGGCGACCAGGCTTGTGACTTCAATGGTGTCGCTAAGCTTAAGAAGTCTACCTCTGCCTCTGGCGCCTGCGCCACTCAGATGAGCGCTGCTGGCTCCGCTGGTACTGGTGCTGTCAGTGGTGGTCTTGCTGCTAGCACTGGTGCTGGTGCTTCTGGCACTGCTGGCAGCAGCGGTGCTACCTCCTCCGGTATTGCTGCTGGCACTGTTCCTCAGGCTGTGCACATTGGTGCCTGGCAGGCGGGTGCCTATGCAGTCGCTGCTGTTGCCTCTGGTGTCTTCATGATCATGCTGTAAACTTGTTGAGAGACTTGTTCGCATATTCATGATTTAGATTGTCTTTCTATTTGCTGTTTTA